GGACAACATCAGCATTGCGCTCCCTGGCAGTGAGTACCATCAGGTCTTGGGCAGACCTGCACACCCCTACATTAATCTGTAGAAAGCGGATCATTTCGTAGTTTGGTCGAGCTGCGCCTCTTCTTTTAATATCATCTCCCTGAATGTGGCACGCACCTCTTCTGGCTCGTTACATTCTTTGATCAGGTGTCCTGATTTTCCGCAACCCATACAACAGCCAGAACGGTCAGTCCCGCGGCAATTCCTGGTTTCATGCGTGGYTGATAAACATCTGTAGCATCGCTTATTTTCGTGCCACAAGCGCACTCTACACGTGGTATAACCTACACGAACTCTCCCMAGCTTCGCAACTCTGTTGGCCGCCTCTGCACTGGTTGTGATAATTGCCATTTGTTGCCCTCGAGGCATCTCACGTAAGACTACTTCGACCTCTGTCTCTGTTCCAGATGCAATGGTGAATCCTTGAGCCACTTCCTCAGGTGTTGTTATCTCGTCAAGGCCAAACACACCAACTCTTACTGACTGTTTAAGCGTCGATACTGTTGCGGTTCCRCCAACTGCCTTCTTGATGGCAGTKTTCACCATCTCCACGTTGGTGGTGCCCATCCCCATCTCAACTAGAAGGTGTCCAGCACCTGTCTTGCGAACTGACACAATATCCTTTGAGAGGTCTTTCAGGGTAGGTTCTGATCTAATCTTTTGTAGCGCTTCTACATACGTCAGATTCCCAGTTTTAACCATCACCGCAGGTGYYTTCTTCCTTACCGTAGTTGGTGTCGTCTTTGGTTTCCTCTTGGCTACTTCGACCCAGGGATTATTTGTCGTCCCAGATTTTCCCTCTGCTTCATTCCTTGAATCGGTTTTGGCTRGCCTGTGCTGCGGTTTTGTGGTGACGTTTTCGGTGAGAGTGCTAATTTTGTGATCTTGTTCTATTAGTCGGGCGTCGATCCTCCTAATTTCTGCAAGTAACCTGTCTTGGCTGGTATTGTTCGGGTCTAAGTTGGTCCCCTGCGTGTCTAGGGCCTTTTTRCTCTGATCTGCTATTTCAATCCACTCTGATCTGGCAAGAAGTCGTTCCATACGTGCTTCTTTTGTCCGTCTAAATGCCTCTAATGCCTCTGTTACTGCTGTTTGGACCGCCCTGGGGGTGGTTCTAGCCTCCTTTGCCTTATCCACTATGATCTGTA